GAACAAGTTCACATTTCCGATGCAAATTTAACATAACCTTGTTACTTTCACATTCTATGCCTCTATCAATAAAGCCTAGGATGCTGTAAGCTTTATTAGCTGCTTTCTCAACCTGTCCTGCCATCTTCAATGATTTATCCACAGATACACTCAACTCAGGAATCTCTGCTCCTTTTGGAAATGTACTCTATTTTGAAATGTGTCTGTGTTCTACCTGCCAAAATAAAATCACTTCACACCTTAAAAATAGAACCTCTAAGTTAAATCACCACACAGGAGGTGGGAAGATCATGGGGGAAACTTAAAAAGCATCCCAGGCTATGGGAGGTAAGGCAGGAAATTGCAGGGTCTCTGAAGAAAATTTTTAATGCTTTTCTGGACCGGGAGGAGGAGGGTGTTGCTACAGGACTGGAGGACAGCAAATACGGATTCACTTTTTAGGACAGGCAGTAGAGATAAACCACAAAATTACAGACCTGTGAGTGTCATGACAGTGGTAAGGAATCTGTTAGATAAAATTCTGAAGCAGCAAATTATTACTCATTTGGAAAGGCACAGGTTAATTAAAGATAGTCAGCAAGGCTTTGTCAGAGGGTCGTCATGCCTGACAAATTTGCTAGAATTTTTTCAGAACTTGATCAAGTGTGTGGATGTGAGAAGTTCAGTTGATGCAGTTTACACAGATTTTAAGCAAAGCTTTTGACAATGTCCCACGCGGGAGACTGATTGAGTAGGTTAAAGGCACATGGAATTGAGGGAAACTTGATGAAATGGATCATAAGTTGGCTTAGGATAGTGGTAGTCAGCTGTTTGAGTGACAGGAGGCTAGTGTCCAGCCGCGTACCACAAGGTTCAGGACCGGGACCCTTATTGTTTGTTATATACATAATTGATATAGATGAAAACATGGTGGGGGGAATGTTCTGCAAATTTGCTTATGACATCAAGATTGGTAGTGTGGGTTGGTCAGATGGGCAGACCTTGCCAGATGGTATTTAACCTTGATTAGTGCAAGGTGATGCACTTGGAAAGAAGAAACAAAATGAGGGATTATTTAATGCATGGCAGGACTCAAGGTAGCTTGGAGGAACAGAGGGATCTTGGGGTAATTATTCACAATTCCCTGAAGTTGGCGGAGCCGTGAGTAGGATAGTTAAGACGATGTATGGGATGTTTGCTTTCATCAGTTGTGCTATACTGTATAACAGCAAGAAGGTAATCTTGGAGATATACAGAGCAGTGATCAGGCTGCAACTAGAGTACTGTGTGCAATTCTGGTCACTTCACTACAAGAAGGATGTGTTAGCACAAGAGGAGATATAGAGTTGGTTCACTAAGATGTAGCCTGGGGTAGAGAAATTGAGCTATAAGGAGAGACTAGATAGGCTTGCATTGTTTTCTTTAGAGCAGGGTAGACTGATGAGGGACATAATTGGAGGTGTATAAGGTTATGAGGGGTATGGACAGGGTGAATACACAGCAGCTATTCCTCCTGACTGAGGGGTCAATCATGAGAGGGCATAGTTTTAGGGTAAGGGACAGGAGCTTCAGAGGAGATCTGGGGAAAAAAACTTTTTTGCTCAGCAGGTGGCGGGAATCTGGAATGCACTGTCTGGGAAGGTAGTGGAGACTGTAAACATTACAACCTTTAAAAGATATTTCGATGAGTACTTCAAATATCATAACATTCAACGATATGGAACAAGGGCAGGAAATTGGGATTAGCGCACTTTTAGTACTAGTTATGTCAGTGCAGACTCGATGGGCCAAAGAGCCTTTTCTGTGCTGAATGAATCAATTAGATTATTAAAGTAACTCTCAGTATAAAATGTTCAATTCGCTATAAACAAATGTCAATCAGCAACTATAAAGATGAACACTCTAATTACCACTTAGACCTAACTGTGCCACACATCCCTTGACATAAGTGATTCTGAAAATCTTGAAATACAATCAAGCATTCATAACGACAACAGCTATCAGAACAAATTATTTCATCTCCAGATAATGAAGCTTACTGAACTGATAAGAAGTTTTTTTTTTCTAAGTACACCAGACAGGCTGTCAATCAAAATACTCCAGAAGCAGTTGGTTTTATTTATATTCTCTCCAGGGCAAGTTGTAATTCCTTTTCCCCCCAAATTTAAAATGCTGAGAGTTTTAAATCTCTTCAGCAAATGACAATTAAGAGTTTGCAAACCCTGTTTATTCTAAATTCCAATACATGAGAGAATCTCTCTCATTGGGAACACATTCCAACATTTACTGATCAATGTAATTGTCAACTTACATTTCAGGACAGAATCACAGATTCAATTCAAAGCACATCTAACTTCCGATGTGCATTTCCCAGCTGAAACTAAAATAAGTTTTCTTTGAACTTCAAAGCAGGTCATGAAAATGTTCCAGCAACAAGCAAGCTTTTTTAGTTTGTTTCCACTTGGGATTGGAATTCCCCAGAAGTACACAACTCCCCTGAGGTGCTGAAATCACATTCTTTGACAGCAGAACTGCAAAAAAAAAATCTTCACAGGGTTTAAACTGACCATCCCCACAACAGGCTGACAAGGGTGGGAATTATACATATAGGTGGACTACCGCACCCATACGCTGCAGTGATGGTAATGGGGTCAGCCACATGGACTTCATAGAATGAGTTCCCTGATCGGACGAGGTTAGCAGCCCCAAAAAGAGAAACCTGGCTGACAGATATAAACAGGAAGTTCCGTTCATTCAGAGCTGGTTCTAAGGAAGCCAGACCAGTATCAAGTACTGTACACGTGTAAATAAAGGGTGACCTGGTGACGGGATACCGGCCTCTATGGAGTTATTTCAGTGACAATTGCAGGAATGCGAAATGGGATAATGTTGTTGTAGCAGTAGTGTCACTGAGTAGTACTCCCGAGGCCCAAATTAATGGTTTGTGCATTTGGGTTCAAACCCAACAAGGCAGCTGCGGAATTTACATTCAATTAATAAATCCAAAATATAAAGCTAGGCTCAGTAACATTGGCATGAATTTACCATCGAAGGTCTTAAAAGCCCATCTAGTTCATCCATTTCCCTTAGGAAAGGAATCTTTCATCCTTCCCTGGTCCAGTCTACGTGTGACTCCAGATCTAAAGCAATGTGGTTGATTCTTTTATGCCTTCTGAAAAGGCCTAGCATCCATCTGAGTTCAAAGGCCATTTGAAATGGACAAATATTCGCAAATATTGTTAATGATGTCTATATCCCTCCCCAAAAAATGTAAAAATCCCAAAGTCTGGTCCTCCCCACATTTTTAAAGCATTCCCAAGCAAGTCTGATTCAGCCAAAATCCAGTCCACTGTCTGACATTTCCTCTCTGTATCTCCTTGGACAATGAGGTACATTCAAGCTGGTTTCATCGTTTTTGGGTCTAGGCAAGCAAACTGAACATAAACACAAGCCTGGACAGCTGAATAATCCTTGAGCAGCTTGCTACTTTATACCAAGAAAGACACTGGCTTCGAGTATCAACCCTCTCCCTGTCCTTTTCCCAACTCAAGTGCCACTTGTCAAGGGTTTTCTCACCACTTCCAGTCGCTGCTGGCCCACATTTTCTCTCTCTGTCTCTTTCCCCAGTTTCAGCAAACAATAGCTTCCTACCTCTGATCCCAACCTTACAGCTGAACTTTCAAGCAGTGGCACACAGTAAATCCTGAAATTTTTAGCCCTTTTCCAAGATTGCCAAAGTTGGACTCTCTGCTGTCTCGCCAAAGGAAGTAGTATCAGGAAAACATCTTCACAAGGTTGGTCAAAAAGGTGGCCCCCATTTCTGTAAACTCCTTCAAATCTACACAATCTCATGACTCTGGTTTTTTGTGTGCCATCTTGCTCCTCACTCCATTATTACCAGGTGTGCCTCAAGTGGTCAGGGCACAGGCTCTAAAATCTTTTCTGGATCTCCTCTTGCTCTCTCTCTTTCAAGCACTTCTTTCATACTTACCTCTTTGATCAAGTTTCTGGTTGCCATTTCAACTATCTTCTTTGTCTTGTTGGCATGGTTTTTAAAAAAAAAAAATTGATTATCCCTTGGAAGAGCTTTGGATTTTTTTCTTTGTCAACTGTGCTACATAAATATAATTTGTTGTTGTACCATGAATCAGATACAAACCCACATCACATCAAGCTCTAGCGTGGTCAAGTAAACATGCACTGAAGGTTAATTATAAGCAAAGATTTTCAGAAGTTGCTCACAAAAATTATTACAATCACTTCCCTGAACACCCGAAAGTGACTGAGCAAGTTAATCAGAGACAACAAGGTGCAGGGCTGGATGAACACAGCAGGCCAAGCAGCATCATAGGAGTAGAAAGGCTGA